GCTGTTTACATGGGGATGAGCTGGTAGACTGTCACACAGAGCAACTGGGTAACATAAAGTTGACCCTCTGACCCAGCAATTCTATTATATGTCATTTATCTTCCAGGAACTCTTGAATATCTACACAGGGAATTGTACTTGAGGATACTCTTTGTGGAGAGCATCTGATTGTCTTTCAGTAGGGGATTTTTTTTTTTTTTTTTTTTGTCTTTTTGAGACAGTGTCTCACTATGCAGTTCAGGCTGGCCTTGAGCTCACTTTGTAGCCCAGGCTGGTCTCAAACTCAGAAAGATTCTCCTGCCTCAGCCTCCTGAGTGTGTGCCACCACACCCAGCTCATTAGGGGATTTTTAAAAATGGAAAACTATAAAACTCTTAAAAAGAATGAATTCACGCTATATGTATCCAAATTTATATATACCTTGAAAGCAACACTGAGGAAGTCTTGAGCAGACACATCATGTAGTACTTTTCATGCAAAATTTTCAACTGCAGTAATTAGTGGTGTATATTATTTATGGATATATTCAGGTATACTAAAAATACAATATACAAAGAGTGACACTTTGTTCTTTTGAGGTTGGGAGGTATGAAATGGACTTCAGGTATATTGAGATACTTTATTTCCTGGAAAAGACACAAATATAGCACACTATTAACATCTGTTTCATCTGAGAATTGGTACGTGGATATGAGAGTGATATTAACAATATTTAACAATCAGCACATCTTACGTATTGACCAATCTGAGCAGATGCTGGCTGTAATAGAAGCCAGGCCCAACAGTGCCAGCTGTTAGGTCATTAATTGTGAGATTGTGGGAAGGTCCGGGGTCCTTAGGAAGAGCTAGTGGAGAGGTAGCTGCCGCCAGAACTGCTAGGTGTGTTTGCAGGTGATTATTCCTCAGCAGAAGACATGCCTAGTAGACTCCCATGGGGTCACTTCCTGGCTCTGTTCTATTCAACAGTGTTTTCTGAAACATGTATGAAAATATAGCAAGGTCATTGGTCAGATTTGCAGATGACACGGAAACCAGAATGGATGAGTAATTCCATACTTGTACTCAATCACAATGTAAAACTATCAACAGGTGGAAGTGAGAGACTTAAACTAAGTAAAATTAAAGTATCCTCTTTAGTTGAAAATCTGTTGCAGCTCTAGGGTGGGGGACCCCTGGCTCAGCAAGGTTTCATATGAAAATTCTAGGCTTATACGTTCCCTAATCTGATGATGGGAGTATATCTTGTTCTCTGCAGGGTAATTTGGTGGCATATAATTAAAAGCTGCATAAGAAGAAAATAGCTTTACCCAGAAATCCCATCTCCAGGTTATTAAGAAATCTTTAGACAAGTATATAAAGACAAGTGTATGGAATGATCATCAAAACCTTTTGAAAGTGAAAACAAAACATAACATACAAAAAACTGTAAATAACCCAAATGGCCAACCAGAAAGTGCTAATAAAATATATAACATGGATTGGAATACCATACTACCAATTGAAAAAGCAATACAACGAGCACAGGAATGGAAACAAAGCTTTTGTAAATAAGGAGGGGAAGAGGGCTTGAAGGGAGGGGAGAGGAATGGGAAAAAGGAATTAAGATACATTGTGGACAGGTACAAATTTTCTGTGATGAATGGTATTATGTATATCTAAAATGTACCAATAAAATTAATTTAAAAATAAGCATAGAATGCCAGGCCTGGTGGTGCATGCCTGTAATCTGAGCATTTGGGAGGCTGAGGCAGGAGGATCACAGTGAGTTTGAACATAAGCGAGTTCAAAGCCAGCCTGAACTGCCTAGTGAAACCCTGTCTCAAAAAGACAAGAGTTACTTTTAGTTGATAATACATACACTGTAACCGAACAGTGTAAAGTTGATGCTAAAGTAGTGATCATTTATGAAATTAGGAGATTAGGGCAAATAATAACCACATTCTACTCTTCATATGTTCCTTAATTTTAAAGGTCCAGAGAAGGGACACCAAGATATTGATGGATCTGGAATCAGGGATTTTATGGTTTGGGTGTAAAATGGCCCCTGAAGCCTAATGTGTCTGGAAGGTGATTGGGTCATGGGGTGTCATAGCTGGCTTGCTCTTAGGAAGTGGGGTCTGCATGGCAGAGGGGTCACTGGAGGAGTAACCTGGAGGTCCACGTCCCTTCCCAGCTCTGCCCTTGCCCTCTGCTTCCTGGCTGCCGTGAGGTGAGCAGCTTTCCTCCTCCAGACCCTACTGCCTTGTCCCCTGCTTTTGAGCAGGCTGACGGGAACTGCAAATGTGAGCCCAAATAAGCCTCTCCTCGAAATTGTGGCTGTGTTTTGTCCCAGTGACAAGGAAAGTGACTCACACCGATGTTCTGCAAATTACTATTGAGAAATCAAGGCTGTTTTTTTCAAAAAAGAGGAAAGTAAGGGAAATACATGTGTGCAGGTGTCTGAACGGCCAGCAGACGGAGAGTGTGGACTAAGTGTTGCTCCAGGAAACAGTCCCATGGTAGAGCGGTGAGAGTTTCAGTTTGATAGGCCGGGCACGGTGGTGCACGCCTATATCCCAGCACTCAGGAGGCTGAGGCAGGAGGATCACTGTGAGTTCGAGGCCAGCCTGGGCTACAAAGTGAGTACAAAAAATAAATTAGAAAAAAAAAAAAAAAAGAGAGTTTCAGTTTGACATAGGAAACACTTAATAAGAACTGGCCACTGTTACTCTCGCCACTATGAGTTAAATCAGATGGAGTTTTAAAATTTTGTATTTCTTTTGTCTTTTTGAGACAGGGTCTTACTATGCAGTTCAGGCTGGCCTTGAGCTCATTTTGTAGCCCAGGCTGGTCTTGAACTCACAAGGAGCCTCCTGCCTCAGCCTCCCGAGTGCTGGGATTATAGATGTGCACCACAACACCCAGCCTTCATTTTTTATTTTTATTTATGTATTTATTTTTTAGAAACAGCAGACTCCATTTAACCCACATAGGAAAAACAATTATTGGAGGATTTGTGGCCACTCTCAGAGCTAAGCCTGGGCACCAGGTTTGAAAAATGCTGAACCAGGAGATGTGTTTCTGAATAAAAGGGACAGCTCAGCGGGATGCTGCTGGTGGGATAAATTAGCCCTTCTTTCTTTAAAGGTCTTGGCATCACTGTACCCCAAATGCAAGTTCATGCACGGAGAGTCTGATGGATCTGGATTGGCCAAAGGAAGATGGGACAATACCATTTACAGTCCTTTAAGAGTGCATGCAATGGAAGAGGATGGGGGAACTTCCATAAGAAGAGAAAATGAAGTCCAGACGTGGTGGTGCAGGTCTATAATTCCAGCACTTAGGAGGCTGAGGCAGGAGGATCACTGTGAGTTCGAGGCCAGCCTGGGCTACACAGTGAGTTCAAGGCTAGCCTGAACCACATAGCAAAACCCTGTCTCAAAAAGACAAAAAAAAAAGTAAAAAAAGAAGAGAGAATGAGTGATCGATCATGGGGACAGATACAACAAATGTTAACACATCGTGATATCATTTTACTGGATCATTTGCTGCTGAAGGAATGTAAGTGAGAGTGAATGGCCAATGCCTAATAATTATTTGCTTCAGCTACTTCAGGGAAAGCCCCAGTTTGGATTGGTGGGAGCGAACCTGTGGGCTAAACAAGTTCTGCGTGTTGTTTGGAACCCAGTCGATCGATATTCTATCTCTGAGTCATCTGCAGAGTGCTCAGCACAAGTCAGTGGCAGTGTCCAGTCAAGATTATTAAGGCTGTGCCTCCTAAGGCTCTCCAGGGTCTTCTTCACCATCTGATATGGCTCCATTATCCACAAATTCAACAAACCTTTCATGAACCCCTGGATGTGCTCCACTTTCTCAGTGGTTAGTCAGGTTCTCATGGCTCTGTGTTTATGAAATCCAGGAGACCATAACTGTGCAAATGAGTCACTCTGCTTCTTTGCGTCCCCAGATTTTGCTCCTGAGTACTGTGTTCACAGATGTCTCCTGATCATGCTTTGAAGGAGTTTACGTTGGTCCTCAAAAATTTACAAGTTTTAAATAAATCACCTCCGGGCTCACTCTCCCTCTGTAGCTTTATTAACCTGGGGAGTGATCTTTTGTAGGAAATGGCCAATGAAGTGATTCCATACTTCAAATTGTTTGCAAATTTGAGGTTTTCCTTCCTCTGTTCACAGCCTAATTTAGTAAGAACAAAACTTGGATGGAAGAGACAGTCTGGGAATCGCGAACCACCCAGGAAAATAAGCCAATATTAAATCCCCAGTATGTGCCAGGCACTAAGCTGGGCACTTCTACCATTCAGATTACAAGTTATAAGCACAGAAAGTCATTGAAACTGGTTTAAGGAGGAAAATAACCCTAATTTTAAGGCTGTTGGTAGATCATAGATTTCTCAAAAAGCTCAGACAACCAGAGGAAGCAAATAAGCAGGAACAAAGTTCACTTTTCAATCAAAGAGAAGCAAGAACCATGCCACAGAGTGAGTTCACCATTAAATCCAGAGACCAGAGAGGAGACTGCCAACCCCTGTGGCCTGGAAATGACCATTCTGGATTCTGAAACTGCCCATTATTATGAACTCCTAACTGGTCCTCCTAACTGGTCCTAACTGGTCCATCCTGGCCCTCTTTTCTTGCTTTAATCCTCCTCCTAACTCTCATTCAGTCTACAAGTATGTATATCCGATCGCTGAATCTAAATCACCCAGCCTCACCTTCCAGGGAGAGGAGAAGAGTACCCCAGATTTTCTACTTCTCTAGAGAACTTTATCTCTCTTGTTTAGACAGCCTAAAACCATTCATGTTCCACATTAGCTTTTGACATATTTTTCTGATCCAATTACATCAGAAACCCCGTGAATAGTATCTTCCCCACCTGACAGATGCATCTACTAATTCTCAGTGGGTTGAAGCACAGCCGTTGGATTGAGATCGTAGAATGAGTAGGTGACTGAACTCTACCTGGAACCCTGGAATCATTCCTTAGCATTCCATGATGGCTCCTCTATGCCAGGCACTCTGTGTCTCCCTGGACACAACAATGTATGGCTTAGGGATGAGTATACCTACTTCTCAAGTGAGGAAATAGAAATTTACCCAAGGTTTTCAACTCCTAAGTGATGGAAGGTAGGTGGCATGACACCAAAGTCCTTATTTTGTACTGACTCCTGGGGAAAGAGATATCAGGTGAATCCTCTTCCTCATGCTTTTGATCATTATGAGGTAGAGGTTGGGAGGAATGCTCCTCTAGGCACCTTCTAGCAAGAGGACTCTGATTACTCTGTCACCCGAGATTGGGAGCTTGTAGCATTTTCAGCTTCTGCCTTCTCTTCCATGTATCATGAGTTGCCAAGTGTTTTTCACATGCAAGATGTGTTGTACTCCTCCTTCATGCCTACAGCCCCATCTCTGGTCCAGGTCTTCTTACTTTATGCCAGAAATCTTCAGTGTCTCCTCAGTTTGTCTCCCTGTCTCCACTCTCCACCTTGAGCCTAACCATGAACAGTGCTTCTGTCTTATCACAAGGCCATGCAACCTAATGCGACCCGGTGAGGGTGGGGAGAGAGTGACGTCTGGGAGTATGCTTTGGGATTTGCTCATGCTGGATTTATTACTGGAGCCACCATTTTGCAGTCACCCAAGAATAAAGCTGATAAAAATGCGTGCAGAGTGGAGACACCGAAAGAGCATGAGTTTTAGAGAAATGGGTTATGTTGTGCATGCAGTTTACCTCCCTGCAGACTCCCAGCTAGGTGAGAAAATGCATGTCCGTATTACTTAAGCCAGCTTTAATTGGGTTTCTGTTATTTGCTGTGGAAGCAGTGCCATGATAGTCATTTAGCTGAAATACAAATCTAGTCCTTTTCCTCCTCTGTGGTTCTGCATTGTCCCTGGAGTCAAGATCACGCTCCCTAATGCGGTTCGCCCAGCCCCCGACACCACACTCTTTCTGAGCCAGGCCCTAGTTCTCGGTCTCTGCCTTCTCCCCCTCCCCGGTACTTCAGATTGCCACCCAGCTCTCTTACTTCATTTATTCCAGACACCCCTCATGCTTCTATGCTGTTTCTTCTGTAGATTGTTCTTTTCCTTTCTCCTTCTACTGTACTGTACTGCTATTCATCTTTCAAGTTCAGCTCAAGTGACAATCTTTCTGTAAATTCTTCCCTAGCCCCTCTAGACAGAATTAGGAATCCCATAAGTGTCTCTGAGCACTTTGTGTTTGTGTCCTGGAGCTTTCTTCAGACTCATGTATATGCACCTGCCTCTTTTTTTGTTTGTTTTTGTTTGTTTGTTTGTTTGTTTGTTTGTCTTTTTGAGACAGAGTCTCACTGTGCAGTTCAGGCTGGCTTTAAGCTCACTTTGTAGCCCAGGTTGGCCTCAAACTCACAATGATCCTCCTGTCTCAGCCTTCTGAGGGCTGGGATTACAGGCGTGCGCCACCACACCTGGTGCTTCTGCCTCTTTGATGAAACATGAGGTCCTTGAAGGCAGTGATTATGTTCCATCCATCTTCGTAGTTCTAACACTTTGTATAGGACCCAGTGATTCTGTTAGCACTAATGAGATGTTTATTGATTGTAGCTGTGTTTATTCATATTGTGCAGAGTATATGGCTATTAAGAGTTATTCATTATTTATTAAAATAAAGCAATATTATTGTTAATATCTTTAGGATTTTGTAGCTCATGAGCTCTTTAATGTACACCTTCTCAATTAATACAATATTCCTTTACCACTAGTATTATCTTTATTTTACAAATGAAGACACTGTGTAGCTAATCAACAACTGAGTATTTGCTGAGGGTCTGCAGTTTGCTAGGATTCGGCAAGACACCAGCTGTGGAGGGAGGGTGCAAAGAGGAAAAACCATAGTCTCTCTTCTCACAGGGTTTACAGTTTACTTGAGGAGATAAAACACGGTGCAGAATATTTCAAGCACACAAAGCAAGAGCAATACAACACAACACAACAGTGAAGGGATGTTGAAGGCAGCAATTTATTACATAATAAGAGGGAAGCAGGAAATAACATTGTGGTCTCTCAGTGGAGGTCCATGGAGGACCTTCCAAAAAGGAACTGAACCTGCATTTTAAGGGTCAACAGCAGAAAAACATTCTGTGTGCAAAGTGAAGGCTAAGCAGAGTAAAAGTGCTTTACTGCTTCACAAGGAAAAGGAGAGAACAGTGAAAGCTCCAAGAAAAGGAATGGATGTATACTGGATGGATGATTGGATGGATGGATGAGTGGATGGATGGATGGGTGGGTGGATGGATGGGTAGATGGATGGATGGATGGATGGGTGGATGGGTGGGAGGGTGGATGGATGGATGGATGGGTGGGTGGGTGGATGGATGGGTGGATGGCTGGGTGGGTGGAGGGGTGCATAGATGGATGGAAGGATGGGTGGATGGATGGGTGGATGGATGGATGGGTGGGTGGATGTGTAGATGAGTGGGAGGGTGGATGAATGGATGGGTGGCTTGGTGGGAGAATAGCTGGAATCATGGATGGATGGATGATTGGGTGAGTAGGTTTGATGGATAGAAAGACAGGTACATATGCAGATGAGTAGGTAGGTAGAGGAACAGCTCCATGGGTTGCAGAGGCCAGGGCTCATTTTACTAAGATTGTTTCCACACAACAAGCAGTGTGGAGCCAGAAATATAGCTCAGTGTTACAAGTGCCTGCCTGGCAAATGCAAGGTCCTGAGTTCAGTTCCTGGTACCAAAAAACAAAAACAAGCGGCATGATGATGAATTGTATTCTCTTCACAGAACATCTTGGTTTAACTTGTTCAAATGAAAGCCAGGCCTTGTGGGAATCAAAAATCATTTGTTGCATTAAAACGTCTGAATGCGGTCAGAGCTACAAAGGACAGGCTTGAGCTTAGGATGTAATCAGGACAGTGTGGCCTTTTAACATTATATGAGGGTATGCTTTCTCACAAACACATGTGCAGAGACACACAAAACTTTGTTTGAGATTTCTCTTTCTCTTTTATCCTGTGTGATGCCAAACTTCTGTTTTGACTGGATTGTCACTTTCCAACTTCCTCTGTGTGGGAGCCCAAAGCCCCACAAGCTGGCATAAACGAGAGATTTTGACTCATAATAATGGTGGTAGAAAGTGTTTATGTAACTTGAGTAAAGGATACAATTCAGCTGGTTAGGAAAAAGGACAGAGTTGATGGGAAAGTGAACTTTACTTCTCAGTCCTATCCTTATTCCCCACAAAATTTTGTCCTACGTTGATGGTCTTATGTGATCAACATGAGAGAGAAATTACCCCTCCTCTAGATTTAAATCCTAGTTACTGAGGAAGCCACAGTTATTAGCTCAGTATCTTCGATTCCACCTTGTTTACCAATGCTCTGTGCTCCTGGTCCTGCACTGCTGGCAGTGCTGAGAGCCTGTAGGCACGCACCCAGCACAGAGGCTTTCCTGCATGGGGGGATTTCCAGCCTTGGGATTTTCCAAACTGGCCTCACTTTGGTCCAACTCACAATTGGTTTGGACTCTGCCTGAAAAGGGATATTTTTCTCAGTATTTTTTGTATTTGCCAGCCTAAGATGGCTTGAGTAACATTTGCGTGGTATCTTGTGATTTCCCTGTGCAAGTTTTCCCAGGAAATATTGTTGCCCACGCAAGGCATCACCGAGCCCTTCCTTCTTTTACTCCTCCATTGTGGAAGCTGGAAATCCAATCCCCAATTCCCCAGTCTCCCTTGTGCTAGAAGGTGTAGTCATGTGACCCAGCTGGGACCATTAAACAGAAGAGGAGGTCTATCTGGGACATCTAGGAAGATTTTCTTCCTTATAGAGAAGACAGATTGAGATGCTACCCTTACCTCCCTTTCCCCATCTTGAATGCAGAAGTGGTGCGAAGAGCTGCTGCGGCAGTCCTGGGAAATGAAGCTCCATGCTTGGGGAAGGGAAGCAGACACACCAAATGGAGGGGGAGAAAAGTAGGAGAGTCACAACGGCGCGGTTGAGCCGCTAGACAAACACAGAGGCCACATCTAAACAATGTCCATATCACTTATGCTTTGTCATTGCCATCTTTGATACTTGCCGTTGCGCTCCTGAGGTGGAAGGGCTGCTGGTGCCTTGCTGAGCTATGCTGATGAGGGATGCGAAGACGGGAATATTGGTCGCAGAGATTCATGCTGGATAGAACTAAGAGTGTGGGAAACCAGAAGTGGGAGAATGGATAGATAAAAGGGTTTATCTGGTCATTTTCCGCTTGAGTTTTCCTAATTTCTCCTACCCGTAAATATCTTTCAATGTGAGCTCATGTGCAGGGGCATCCTGAGGCTCAAACTCAGGGCCTCACGCGTGTTAGGCAAGTGCTGTCCCACTGAGTTGCTCGCTCAGCTTTGGCTTGAATTTTAATGTTCCCTTTATAGGACATCCAGGACGTTGCTGCACCAAACCTCACAGATACTTTATCAAAAGCAAGCTGAAAATTGTCTAGGATCAGGCCACAGAGGCGTGGATTTCTGGATGTCTTGTGCAGTGTTTTAACCCTAACAACCAGTACAGCACCTGGCACAAGGTAGGATTTCATCTCTTACTTTGTTGAATGTGTGAATTATACAGACTTAGTCTCAAGAAGCTCTTGTTAGCTTGAAAAGCAGAAAGAAGATTTGGCAAAATAAAAATCCATGAGATTTATGATTTGATCGTAATTGCTACGATTGCGGGCTTCATTTTGCTTGCTCTAGGCCCAATATAAATATAAATATAAATATAAATATGTTTTTTACAGTACTGGGGATTTAATCCAGGATCTTTGTACTAAGCTGCATCCCCAGCCCTCTTCCTGCACTTTTAATTTTTTTAATTTTGAGATAATTTTTTGGCTAAGTTTCTAAATGGCCCAGGCTGAGCTTAAATTTACAGTCCCCTTGCTCAGCCTCCCATTGTGCTGGAGTTATAGACATGTGCCACCACACCTGGCTTAAATTATTAAGTCCCGGCAGGTCTATATATATTTTAAAATGGTTGAAGAAGCACTTGTTTTGGAGAATGGGCTTGGAAAAAGTGACTACTCCCTTGTGAACTTCCAGTAATGACTTGGACAAGAGGAAATTCTATTGCATTTTGAGATTAGCCCAGGAAAGGGAGAATCTAATTTAGGGGTATTTTGAGGAATAGTCCATGTGGAATCTTCTTTTAGTTTAGTATAATGTACTCAGGCTTAAATAGTCTGGTCCAAAATTACCCCCGGGTGTCCCCTCTGCCTCCCTCTCTGTATTTCGTTCACAGGCCTGAAATGCCCTTTCGGCCGCTTAGCTGACTAGCTCTGGTCAACCTTCGAGACCTAGCTTGGCCCTCTCCAGTTCCCCCAGATGGGGACAGCTGCTCTGATCCCAGCTTGTCAGGCTGCCTCACATGCTGGGCTTATGACCTTCTTTTCTTTTTGTGTGCACACTGAGTTTGTAGAGTGAATACTGATGGTTGTAGCTAAGGTCTGCTGACAGCTCGCTTGCTGGGGACATATATGAGCTCTTTTACATGTGTTCACTCAATTATCCTTCCCAATAACCTTGAGGTATGCTCTAGTAATAACCTCACAGATGATGATTTAACACAACCTGCAGATATTTATTGAGCTGCTATTGTGTGGTTGGCACTGTCCCAGAGACAAAGACTATACTATGGAACATGACTGGGGGAGGGGAGGGATGGTCTCATGGAGTTGATGCTATGCTGCCAAGGAGGGACAATACCACAGATGGGTAAATTACAAAGAAAAGAGGTTTATGGGGCTCACATTCCTTGTGTCTGGAAAGCCCAAACAGCATGGTACCAGTATTGGTGAGGGTCCTGTGTTCGTCAGGTTTCGTAACTGTGACAAAATACCTGAGATAATCAATTTAAAGGAGAAGGGTTATCTGGCTCACAGTCTCAGAGGTCTCAGCCGATGGTCACTGTTTCCTGTTGCTTTGGGCCTCTGATAACGAGCACATCACGGCAAGAGAGAGTGGCGGAGGAAACTGCTCACTTCATGGTGGCCAGGACTGAAAAGAAAGGGAAGAGAGGCTGGGCTCCCAGATCCCCTTCGAGGACATGCCCCCAGTGACCTAACATCCTTTCTCTCGGCCCTTCCTCTTAAAGGTTCCACCACCTCCCAGTAGCTCTCTGGGCTGGAGACCAGTCTTCAACACATGCCTTTGGGGCACACTCCAGACGCAAACTGCACCAGGTCCCCTGCTTATCTCAACATGGTGGAGAAGTAGGTATGTGCAAAGGAAGCAAGAGAGAGAGAGAGAGAGAGAGCCCAGGAAGGCAACTTCCTTTTATAAAATCTGTTCTCATGGTAACTGATCCAATCCCTTAAGAACACACTAAAAAAAAAAAAAAAAAGACGTGATGGAGCTCAGTGGTAGAGCTTTTATCCAGCATGTGCAAAGCCCTGGGTTGCATCCCCAGTACCAAAACATAAAATTAAAAAAAAAAAATAGGTAAAATAAATAAAATTTTAAAGCCATGCTCAAGTGTGACGTCACTCCTTTCAGAAAAACATTAATCTCTCTTCAAGACCTGGTCCAGTTTTCTAAGGGCCCCATCGCCTCAGCACCATTATACTGGGACCCAAGCTTCCAGCATGTAGACCCTTGGGGGAAACACTATCTCAAAACCGTAGAGGTAATAAAGTCACCAGACAAGTGAACAGATTGGTGGGCTGCTCTCTGTAGGACCTGGGTAAGCCTGACGTGTAACCAAGGAGCGTTCTTGGGCTGAGGGCTAAGAGAGGAACGGTCCTCCCACAGAGTGCTACTACTGAAGCACCCAGAAGAGGCAGGCAGGAGATGAAAGCCGAGTGCCGGGAAACTTCACACAGCCTGCTGGGCAGAGATCAATCTTCACCATGAAAGGAAGGAGCGGAGAGGGGAGAGCAAAGCTGAGAGAGCCACAGGGGTCTGAGGGGCACGAGTCCAAGGCACAGGGGAGGGGAGAGAGTGGCTGCTGAGAAGCCTCACAACATTGTCAGAGCAGAAAGGGAGCCCGTGTGAATGAAAGGGATTCTTACAAGTGCCTAGAAATAGCTGGTGAGGATTGTACAGGCTGAGGCTTAAACAGGCTTTGTTCTTGGTCAGATAAGGAAAGCCATTGTGGTCCGCAGGAAACGGAGCTCTCAGGGGCGGACATGTGAGACTGAGCGAGAGGGGGCTATTTTTTTTTTTTTTTACCATGAATGCAGCAGGTTGGTCAGTGTGTCTGTTTGGAACCTTGTACCTGCCTGAGCGGAGGGGATGGAACTGTCCCCCGAGAAGCTCTAGATCTGAGCCGGCCCCGGGAATATGGGGCCTGGGAAGTCTGCTGGGGCTGCACCATAGTGCTGTGGTTTTCTGTGAGCTGGTGGAACTCACCCAGCCAGCGGGGGGCATAGAGCCCCTTCTCCGGGGCCCCAGAGCCTGCCCGGGGCAGGTGTGGCTGTCACGAGAGGAAGAAGGACTGACTGCCGCTTGTGACCCTAGAGGTTGTGTGGGTCCCCAGGTATAGTTCCAGAAACCCTGGAGAGTGACCCTGAACCCTGTAGGAGGGTTCCAAAGAACAGCAGACTGGGCTTTTCTACTTTTTTGGTCATCCCTCCTACTAGGGAGGTGAGGTGCTCCGGAGCCCCACCCCAGGGCAAATCCATGCTGGCCCCCTTTCCAAACCAGGGTGGCTTTGGGCACATTTTAGCCCGTTTCTGCATCTATAACATGGACACGATAGCGTCTACCTCGTACGGCTATAGCAGGCCTGAGAAGCTTAGGAAAGAATGTGTGGTGCATTTAATAAACATAAATATAGTAGTATTTACCATTATTATTATTAGTATTTTTATTATTATTACTATTGTCTTTTTGAGACAGGGTCTCGCTATGCAGTTCAGGCTGACCTTGAGCTCACTTTGTAGCCCAGGCTGGTCTGGAACTTGCAATGACCCTCCTGCCTCAGCCTCCCAAGCACTGAGATTGCAGGTGTGTGCCACCAGGCCAGGCCTGGTTACCATTATTGTTGTTGCCCCTGCAGACTGGTTGGCAAGAGGACACACAGTGTTGGTAATGTACCATTTCCTCCTTATCCCGTCATTTCAAGACCAACCTGACAGCTTCAGTACAGGATGAAGTCTAGGGACAAATCTGAAAATGAAGCCCCAGACCTCCTATACGCCACTACCTCCCTGCTTTGTCCTGGGGAGGAGGGGAGAAAGTCCCTGCGGAGTGGTGTGGCCTTGAGTTAACACCTGTCGGGAGGAATGCACGGGAGCAGACAAGCCCACTTGAGGCCTCCTGTCTGGAATTCTGATAGCTGAGTGGCATCAGCCGAGTGGTCCGCTGGCCTCCCTCTCCGAGTCTGACTGGGAGACACTGGAATGGCCACTGAGCGCCAGCTCTGCGACACACTGCCGATTCCCTCCTCTCAGCCGAGGCGGCCTCCAGACTGCGCTGTCTCTGCTCACCGTTCTGTTTCCCCAGCGGGTACAGGGGGAGGCAGGGGTGGAAAGGCGATTTGCATAACGCTGAAAAACAGAATCTTGGCACTTTTGTTAGATGCCAGGGGCTTGGGGAAGGGCATGGACGCTAGAGAGGAAAAAACAGAAGGAAATATTCTGGGAATTCCCAGTTTGTTCTTGGCACCAGATAGGAATTCTAACTCTCCAGGAAGTTGTTTTTCTCTGGACATGACCCCTGTCCTCATCCTCTTCCCCATGTCCTAGTCCTTGCTCTTAATGCCTCCCGAACGTGGTGAGTGCCACAGCTGATTTGAGCCTGGTGTGTCCCGCTGCTCCTTGAATCCAGCTCAGGGGAAGCAACATTTACAGAGCAGGTGAGCTCAGCATGGGCCTGGGTCCTCTCTGGAGCTTCTTGGCAGCCAACGCCCTCTGAGGACCAGAGCAGGAGGGAACCCATGGTGGCCTTGGCTGTGGCATTGTTTGCACTGGTATCCTTTGGCTTTGCCTTCTGTCACCTGACAATGTGGGGTGATGCTGGGGACATCTGAAGGATGCTATTGCTTTAGTTTTGTAGGTTCATTCATTCATTCATTCATTCATCTGTTTATCCCAAAATAATCACATACAATTTTTTTTTTGTGTGTGTATGAATGCTTATGGGAAAAGTGTCCCTGACACCCAAAAGTGAAAAATACATCTACATCCAGAGGTAAAGGGATAGAATTAGCCATTGTTGAGGTCATTCTATGCCAGGATCTATGCTACATTTTTGTTTTTATTTTGTTTCCGAGGAACTATAACTTTTTAATGAAAGTATAAAAAAGTAGCACTATAGGCAATTTGAGAAAGTAAGGAGCATAATACAGAAAAGGTTAATTTGTAACCCAACCACCCAAAGTGCTCTGTAGCCATTACAGATCTGTTGTCTTCAAACTGTTTTTTCCATGCAACTGGATAGTTATCATTTCTGCAACTCGCTTTCAAGGCTCTCTTCACCTAGTCAGAAAGGATTGTGAGGCAGAGGGGCCAAGCAGCTTGCACCCGGTGACACTTAGTGGGTGTGAAGCGCACTTAGTCACCGCAAGGGAGGCAGGGTGCAGGTATGAGGGGATCAAGGGAGGAGGAGGGAGTCTCCAAGGAAGCTCTCGAAGAAGGCAACAGTTCAGGAGGTCAGGAGCACTGTTACATTGGTGGAAGCCAAGCGAGCACTATAGCTCAGTGCTGAAGTATAGGAGGGACTACGGGGCAGGGACAGGCAGGGCATCCTGTAATAACTTGAGCCTGGCCAGGAACCAAGGCTCTATTTTCCCACCATGGCTCAGTCGAGACCATTTTGGAGGCTCTTTTACCACCACCATTCCCGGTCATATGTTTACTATTTCTACTTCTCGATATATCAACTTTATTTTTCTTTTATGTTTTTGAGACCAGGTCTCACTATGTAGTGCAGGCTGGCCTTTAATTTATTTATGTAGCCCAAGCTGGCCTTGAACTCATGGTGATCCTCCTGCCTCAGACTCCTAGGTGTTGGGATTACAGGCGTGTGCCACCACACTCAGATTGATATATCAGTTTTAGATGATGTAAAATTGACTCTTCTCATAAGCAAGAAGGAGTTGAACTTGTACTTTCTTGCTTCATTTCTTAAATTATGGCTATTTTCAGTCCAATTTTAGCTATTTTACAACTCTCTTTCCTTTCCTTCCTTTCCTCCACAGCCTTCCCTCCCTCCCTCTCCCACCCCTTCCTTTGAGCTAGTTTAGAATTCTGTCACCTTCCTACCTCAACCTCCCAAGTACTGGGATTATAGGTGTATGCCTGTACAATCAACTCGAAATGGAAACTTTTTTGAGGGGAGTAACTGGGGATTGAATCTAGGGTTCCATGCATGCTAGGCACACACTCTACCAGTGAGCTACAACCCCAGTCCTATGTATTTTATTTTGACAGGGTCTTGCTAAGCTGCCCACTTGGGCTTGAATTTTTGATCTTCCTGCCTCAGCCACCCCCATAACTGAGATTACGAACATGTACCACCATGCTGGCTACAACGCCAAATAATATAGTTACTTTGCTTGTGTTGTCTTTTTTTTATTCTTAAAAATTTTTTTTTGAGATAAGGTTTTACTACGTTGTCTAAGCTGGCCTTGAACTCACTGTTTGTAGCCCAGGCTAGCCTCAAACTCATGATAATCCTCCTGCCTCAGCTTCCCAGTGCTTGTATTATCTAACTTCAATGGTGTCAATTGATTTTCCATTATGTAAGATGAGCAATTTGGTGCTGTATATCTACTCTTCATCTCTATCTCCCTTCTTCTACCTTATCTCCTAACATCTGCTTTTTGTTTTTTGTTTTTTTTTTTTTTTTTGGTACTAGGAATTGAACTCAGAACCTTGAGCTTGCCAGGCAGGCACTGTGCTGCTGAGCTATATCCTCGGCCCCTGGCATTTTTTTTTTTTTTTTTTTTTTTTGGTCTTTTTTGAGACAGGGCCTCACTCTGCATTTTAGGCTGGCCTTGAGCTCACTTTGTAGCTCAGGTTGGCCTCAAACTCAGGATCCTCGTGCCTCAGCCTCCCAAGTGCTGGGGTTATAGCCGTGTGCCACCACACCCAGCTCTGACATCTGTTTTGTAACAAAATTAGTTTTTAAAAAATTATGGTAAAAAAGTTATGGTAAAATACATATATGTAACATGAAATTTTCTATTTTAGCCACTTTTAAATGTACAGCTCAGTATTAAGTACATCGCATTTTGTGCAAACATGACACCATCCATCTCTCGAACTCATTTTATCTTGTAAAGTGAAAACTCTGCACCCAATAAATACTTACATTTCCTCCTCCTCCCGGCACCTGACAATCACCATTCTTCTTTTTGTCTCTGTGACTTTGGTTATTCTCAGTATCTCTTGTAAGCGGAATAAACCACTGTATTTTATTTTTCTGTGACTGACTTATTT